CTCACTGTGTTCTCTGTGGCGGGGGCTGTACCCGCTGAGTCCACCCAGCCCGCCGAGAAGGAGGAGGACGCGCAACATGGCTAGCGATCTGGATCCCAGTCCCAATGTGGCCGTTGGCCAGCCACAGGGCAGTTGGGAGCGCGAGGTGCGGTCCGGCCTCGCACCCTGGGAGAAGGCAGGGACTGAGCCACGTGCGCGGAGCCCAGCGGGCCCAGCTGTTGAACCTGGGCGGCCTTGGCCAGCGAGTCTCTCCAAAGAGGAGCCCACTGGATTTGACTCCTATTTGAAGCTAAGGAAAAAGGAAGAAATAGGCGGGAGGCAGGGCCAGAGGGAGAGAGACCACTGTTTTCTGTCTACCTTTTTGATTACTGGGGATTAAACCCGGGGATGCTTAAACACTGAGCCACAGCCCCCAGCCTTTTGTTGTTGTTGTTGTTCCAAGACAGTCTCTCTAAATTGCTTAGGTCCGCGCCAAATGGCTGAGGCTGGCTTTGAACTCAATAATCCTCAGGCCTCCGCCTCCTGAGCCACTGGGATTACAGTCCTGCAGCCACCACGCCAAGACAGCAGCAGATTCACTTCTAAGAGGCAGAGTGGGTGAAAACGCTAAGAAGAGACATATCGACTTCTTAAGTGAACTTTCAATTCTTAATAATAATGTTATATAATAATATATTACATGTTTATGTACAGTTCAATCATACGAGGACAGCTTGATTAATACTCAAGTGAAAAGTCAGTGTAATTATTACCTGGATCAAAACAGAGACCACTAAAGTCCCCAGTTGACAGTTATTACCTCAAAAACTATTGTAGTTGCTCTTTACATTTGGCTTCCTTTAATGGGATGGTTGTAAGGCCCATCCATAGCAACATTTGTCTTTCCATTTTGCTGTTGGTGAACATTTGGTTTGTTTATACTTTCAACTATTAAAAACAATATTTGACTATAAAAATTCTTGCATATGCCTTTTATGTAGAAATTTCTCTTGGGCTTATTTCTAGAATGGATCACAGGATAGTACTAATATATGCTCCCACCAGAAGTGTCTGAACATCCCAGTTCCTCCACATTGATGCCTACACTTTTTTCCTCCTCTTTATTTCATGTATTTTTATAGGCCTGTAGAGTTTTCTGCATTTGGGGTTTAATTTGCATTTTCTTGTGGTTAATAAACTTGAACACAATTTTATAAGTCAATAAACTTGAACACAATTTTATAAGTCAATGACAATTTACATAGCTTCTTTGGCAATTGCTGCTTGAAACTTTGGTCCATTTTCTAAAGGAGTTGCCTTATCTCTTTCATTC